TCCTGGTCACGAGGGCACAGTGCTGGCTCAAAGGTTCAAACAGTCACGCAGAGGTTACCAAGCTACTGGAGCAACAGGCTCATTGTTGGGAAGACATGGAAGCACAAGCCTTTCCCCCTTCAAATCCCAAGATCATTCGGGTCATCCTTATTCAAGGCAACTTGTCCATTGCATGGTCGTGGTTAAGGTTCCTAGTGCAGGAACTCAGTTAATGATATTGCTTCAAAACTGGGCTACTGTCCTTGAAAACAGCCTGAAAATGTTACATTTTATCTTCTCTTGCTACCAGATACCCTAAGAATTTCAACTGTTACAGGATAATCATAAACCTCGAGAGAACGGAAAATATCCTTGATGTGATTAGCACGCTACATAAACTAAAACATACTTCATAAGTAGGCTATGGAAACTTTGTTTTACAAAGGCACCAGAACCAGCATGTAAACTCAGCTTTTTGAGGACAATAGCTGAAGCTAACATGGGAGTTGTGCAGTAATGGTTCTCTCTAAGCATTTTTAAATAAAAACAGTATTTTTCAATACAAAGAGCCTTCAATCTTGGTGCAACAGACACCACAATCACATTACAGTTGGAATTTATAAGTAAGCCTTAACTATGCATAGCTTCTTTACAGTAGCTTATGAAATTATCTTTGTCATATTTTTTAAAAGGTTTTGGTCACACATTTTGTATGAAATCAGACTTTTTATTCAAAAATTTCATTCTTATATCCTGTTGTTATAGCTTTAAAATACTACTTCCCATTTTAGAAACAAAATTGAATTTCAAAGTCATTGTTTTCATTGTTTTATGCAGATACACATAGACAATTTACCTTTTGATAATCATCCTGTGTATTTCCAAACTTCTGCTGTGCTAGTTTTCTGACGAGATCTGAAAATAAGCAAGAATATTCCAGATTTTTAAACCATATAAAAACGGGGGAAGAGGATGGTATGAATTCTACTGTCAGGTAGGTACTATGAAATTAAGAACAGATATCAACAGGATAGGCAAGCACATAAGTGTTTCCATAAACCTGTCTAGTAACAACATTTTTAATCAACTGTATACTTTATGAGCCATTTTAATCAATTCCCACTGAAATGCAGTGAAGGTTTTTCTGAGGTCATCCTCTGTACCATAAAATCATTATTAAAAGTTAATCACAAACTTATCGATTACTTGGACAACATTCTGGGTATCAGCTTTGCTTCATGGTTAGGCCAAGTACATACATAGGTACATACACACACACACACACACACACACAGAGCATTAGATACATAATATGCAAAACAAGCATGTTAATGATGACTTGACTGAATGGTAAAAGGAAGAAGGCCCTTATCCTGACAACATTATCCCAATTTTTTTAATTTTTTTTTTTTGGGGGGAGCTCAGACCAACAGAGTATGCAACACTGCCAAAACAAACCAGAAAGCCTAACGTGCCAGCTTACTGTGTGCACAGCTCCATGTAATACACTAATTTTAACTTATTCACAATACAGACGAAACACAGCAACCACCAAATAAAGAAAGTAGGAATCTAAGTGCCACAAATACTGTCACTTAACATTATAAATATCATTTTACCACACTCATTTCTTTCAGTAAGCCCCAGCAGCTCAATGAACAGATGCCCCTTTTTGGGACATCACCAGCCTACCCACCCTTTCTGAGGTTCCAACAGCCCTATGGGAACTATGCTGGGAACTGTGTCATTTCCATGACACTGCACTTGAGGAGGGCCACCACCAGCTCTGCAGACCCTCTGCCTCAGAGGGGCATCAGAGGCTCCAGGTGTGCTCCATGCTAGGCTGTGTAAAAGCAGCAGTGTTCAGATGTTTGGGAGAAATGACTGAGTGAATTTCTGGTCTCTTCTGATGAAGGAGCACACCACACCTCAAGGAGGAGTGCTCTGCCCCCACTGTTCACACAGAGTTGGACTTCATGGTACTATTGCCCCGTCATTAGTCTCCACATATGCAAATGAACATACTTTATTAAAAACCTGCAAAAACTTATGTTTCCCATCTTGAGGATCAATAAAGGACCTGAATGTTCAGAACTGACTGTTTACCTCCCAAAAATCCAAGCCCTCTCAGAATTTATTGTAGCACTTGCGAAACATGTTCAGTGAGTTCAGAGAGGCTGTGATCGCACACCTCTCTAATCCTGCACGTGGCTCAGGAAAACAAAGCCCTAAGCAAACAGTGCCCATGGTCCTTCCTCCCCAACACACTGCAGAGGGAGCGTGGATTCAACTGATCTGCAAGTTGGAGAGATCCTGAGGAGTTCTTCACAGAAAAATGTCCAAGGAAAGAAAACACACAACAGCGAGGCAACAACTGCTGTTTTTAGGAAGGTATTCCCTGCAAGGAAGCTGCAGCCAGCAAGACTGACAATTAAAAATTAAAAAAATAAAAATCTGTTAACATATCACAGGAGTGTCAAGCCACAAATCATCCACAGACAGGAAGCACATTCTGTAACATGGAGAGAGCGCTAGCAGTAGATGATCAAGGACTCTCATTTTGGAAAGACCATACGTAAGGTAGAAGATAAGCCTGAATCCCACAATAACAGAAGTAAACTCAAAACATACCTATAACAAGCACCTGGGAAGAACAAGAGTTGTAATCCCTGCAAACCCTTCCACATTCTCCATCCTGAGAATTGGGAGAACATTGAAGGAAAGGGCACACACCACAGTATGGGCAACACACAACTGATGCACTGCTGCAGCCCTGAGAAACCTCGCACACTGGCACCAGCAGAGTCCTCCCTGGATCAAGGCCATCCCAGACAGCACCTCTGTTTCTCTGGGAGTTTCAGCAGCAAGGAGGTATAAAGCAAGTGAGGCAGAACAGCACCAGTCCCAAAGATTTAATTCACACTGGTTGTTAGACAATTTTTTCTTCTTCAGCAGAGGCAACATTTCTTTCTTCTTGTTTACATCTATATACCTACCAAGTAAATAAATTTAAGAAATATTGGTGCATAAAATATAAATGCAATTAATTTTCTCTACAGCTAGATGCCTTTTAGCAAGCAGGAAAAGAAAAGGGCTAAAACAACCCTCCTCTTTATGTATTTATTGAGCCATTTAGCCTTGTGTGACAACACACTGCAGAACAGCCACTAAAGAGAAACTTCTATCATCTTAAATAAGAATGCAATGGGAAGGAAGAAAAAGGAATAGCTCCTGCAATCCTCAGTGGTATGAAGCAGCACAGACTACCTGTGTGGACGCAGTCAAACACAGAAGCCACCTGCCCAGGATGCTGTGGCATCACCCTCCTTGCAAGCAGGAGGGCCCCCAGCAACCTGCTCTCACTTCCAGGCTACTCCTAACTTGGAGATATATCTTGCTTTGGAAAAGGGTTTAACCCAATGATCTCCAGAGGTCCCTGCCAATGTGAATTATCACAAAGGTATTCTACAATCACCATGACTTTTTATTACAACTTATTTAACGGAGGAGTGAAAGCACTGCCCGGAAACACATAAGAAACCTAAATTTCTCACTGTCAGGAAAGGGTACAAGATAAAATTTTAAAAGCATTAGCCTTTCTTGTTAAATTAAGGTTGAAAGTTTTTACCCATTCTTCTAGCTGAGTGTCTGTCCCCATCATAAATTAAAATTAAAAAAAAATCATTTTATATAAAGTTTTACAAACATTTATACACATATATATATATTTATGGACATCTGTATGCATATGTAAAACTACTCAATAGAAACAGAGGACAGTTGAAGCTGGGACCACTTGAGATCATCCAGTCCAAACCCCCCAGCTCAGTGCAGTCACCCACTGCAGGTTACCAAGGGCCATGTCCAGGCAGGTTTTGAGTATCTCCAAGGAGAACATCCAATACTTCAAAAAAAAAAAACCAAACCCAAACCATACAAATAATCAAACAAAAAACCAAACAAAAACCAATACCCAAACCAAAACTAATCTCATTACTTGTGGTATGCTTAAATCACTCAGACTGTTCCTGATTCAGGTTTTCATTTATACCATTTCTATAATTTATAGCCTGCCAAAAAAATGACAGAAATGACCTGAATACACTATGACAAACTGATTCAGAAAGCAGCATTTTCAAAGTGTTTTTGAAATACAGGGGCTTTAGAGCCTGTTCATCAGAAACTAAAGCACTGTTAGATTTATAATGAGGAAGAGAGCCTGAAAATAGGTACAGGAAGCTCCCACACAGATTGAATAAGTTAAATGGGGAGAATACAGGTTTCATACGTGGCACAATGGCCAATATTACACAGCCCATTTCTCCATTTAATTTTCCAGAATATGAGGTTTCCCTGCTGAATAAAGATTTACTACTTATATTACTGTGTAATGATTTTTTAGAAGTAGCATGAATCTTCAGGGTGTTTTGCTCACCAGGCAGCACACAGTAATTGACCAATCTTTACCATGAATTTACTATTTCAATAGCTTTCACTATTAACTGGATTGGACACACTCCTAGTTAATTAATTTCAAGTGAAAATGTGGAAATCGGTTATATAACCCATAAAAAATAATTTTGGCTGTAACTGAACGTGAGATTACCTGCAGTTGCTCACCCACACATCTGTAAGCAGAAACATGCCTCGGTGGCTCGCAGCATCAAGAGTGTCCCTATTAGGTTTTACGCACATTAAAAGCAATCACGGTCCCCGCTGCAGCGCTGAAGGGCTGAGCAGGGGAATGTCCTGTGCCAGGTACTGTGTGAACACAAGCATCATGTTTTCAGATATCTCCTCACTGTAGCACAGTGAGGAGATGTCTCAGCTCACTTTTAATTCAGCCTGTGATTTCAGTTTGCTTTTCTGAAGCACCTTTCCTCTCTGGCTAGAACAACTCATCTCTAGCTTTCAAATAAGTTTTCATTTAAAAGTGAACTAAGGTAACTCCACACAACTCTCTTCTGTGTTATCGGTAGAGTACCACCTCGAGGCTGATTTCTGTTTCACATATAAAAGTGCTAGGTAGGTGTGATAAAAAGTGGCGTCCTCTATTTTCAAACTAATGGGATTACTTCCGAAATCTCAGCTTGACCAGCTGCACACATTGTTTCCCAGGACCAGTAATCCAAGGCTTTAGCACAGAACACATTTTATCACTGGGGTTAAAGAGATTTACCTTGTGAGACTCATTTACACAGCTAATTACATTACCACTTTGCTCTGGCTCCTTCCTGTTCTCATCACACATGTGAAATGCCATATGCCCTAGCAAATCTAACTAGCCAGATGAACTGTTAATTTACCAGTGCAATTTGTGATGAAATATTGAGCACCTCTGAGAAGCCTCAGTTAAGAAAACATAATCACCAACTCCTCATTGTACACATATTGTCTACATACACTCAATAGCTCATTATCCAGACAAGAAAATGAGGTTAGCACTAGGCTTGCTTCTTAGAACTGCTCTACACAAAGGGATAGCAAAAATAATAGAGGTTTAAAAATAATCTGTGTGGCTATTAAGTATCAACATAAATTAGTTACAAATTCTTCTACCAAGAAATCTTTTCAAATCTAGGTGACAGGAAAACAGCCAGAGTAAAACCTTTGGGAATGCTATGCTTTATCTTCACTCAAACAATGCCATTGAGCCTGTGCAGTTATAGTACAACTCCAGCATTAATCAAATTATGCCAGAAATTATTTTATCTTTTTATGCATAATATAACAAATTAGGCTTTTGTTCTGAAAAGGACTTCAGGCAAATCAGTAAGAACCAGGAGTGAAGCATTCATGTCACACTGAATGAAGATTTTTCAAAACAATAAGGGAGGATTACATAGATAATACAAATGATAAATTAATAACTGCATTAATGCTCTCTCTCTCTCTAATGCATATCATGGTATTTA